CGACGCGAAAACATGAGATGCATTTGCTTAGCATGGATTTAACCCTAGCCTTGATGACTGTATATATCAATCAGTTGACTGTAGATCATCCATTTGTGGTCCCATGATGTGTCCCAAAGATGGTTTATATAGTCTAGGTTTCTTAAGTATTGCTTTCTAGCCCGCAGCAGCAGCACTGTCGTGCATACCTGTTGGGCCTGTAACAAGACCAACATCCTAACAGCTGCTACTTGGAGCTCTTTGGAGCAAGCCCGGCCAGCGATGTAGCAAGGAATGGTGCGTAATTTGAGCATGTAGCAGCACAAAAACAACCTGCTATTCGATCGCTTTCCCTAATTTGGCAGCACAGAGAGGGTTAGAAATGGCATCACCACACAATAAGAATAAAATATAGAAAAAGAGCATGCCAAACCGATCATCGGCCAAGTGATCGTGATGATGGGGTCAGATTAGATGTCCCAGTGCCACGTTTTTCTTAGAAGCCGCATGTGTTATAAGCCCATGTGCCTACTTTGATGCCATGTGGGGCGCAGGCGGGACAACCACTGCGCTTGCTTCGATTCACTCCTGATGTGTTTGTCTCACCATTTTCTAATGCCAAGTCATTCAAATTTTTGTCCCACACACTAGGCCCCCCAAGATCCAGTCCCTGGTCAAGTGCTGGAGATTCGCATGATTCTACACGGGTTCTTTGTGAAAATTTGAAGATTTCGACGTCATAGCCCAGATTTCGGCCAAGATTTCAGTGTGTCATCCCCGAGGATCATGGCCCCGTTCAGAAACTCAGGCTTGGGCAGCTTGGACTTGCGTGCATTTTGCTGCACCATAAATATATATATATATTTGTTTATACCGCATATATATATAATTAATGTTGCGTTTCGTCAAGTCACACAAGGGAAGTATTGGCACGACATGGCGTGACACATTCGTAGGGCGCGGCCCAGCACGAAGCACAAAAACTCCAACTGAGAGTCATGTCATAGAGTCATAGGATGTCTACTTCCAACAAATCCAGAAACTGATGGGTTTCTGATGGGTCAAACATTTGCTCCTGATATCTTTTGAGTGACACCCCTTCCCATTTGCAGGTCTTCAAAGCCATATCATAGAGCAAACCTGAGCAAGCGGTTTGTGCCACCTTCTAGGGCCCATTCTCAAGCGATTTGCATACAGGTCCAAGAAGGGGCAGATGGCAAAAAGTCCAACAGGTCCAACATGTGCATTGAAACTACCCAAGGCGGTATAACAAGAACATGTCAGATTCACGTACTCTTAAAGCCGCCGCTGTCAACATCATGATGTTACGCTTGGACACTCTTTTGATGGTTCCGATGTGCGTTGGAGCCATAACTGAAGGACTTGCTGCAGCCACCAACGAAGAGGAAGGATGATCCCCAGACGCAAGTCCTTCTTGAGGATTTCTAACGGCCACCGTTTGAGGATTTCACCGCGCCACAGTTGGCCGACCGTTTGGCCGCCACGGACCATGTGACCTCGAAAGAATTCTACGGTAGGACTTAAGATTATGCTTTGCGAAAGGAAAACTGCAGTTGGGAAGGTTTGGAGAAAGGCTCTGAATTTTCGATGAATGGATTTTGTTGCAAAAGCGTTGGCGAAAGAGCTTTTTTGTACAAAGCATGTCATCTAAATGGTTGTTCAAAAGCAACAAAGATTCCTGATAACCAGGCGAAAGGTTGCCGAAAGGTTCGCGAAGATGTGGCATAAGCAGTGGTTGCAGATTAGGAATGATTCCCCTTTGCTGATACTTTGCTTAGATGTAAGTAGCAGAAACTCGGCGAAAGGTTCAGCGAAAGAGGTTTTTGGGTGAAGTGGGTCAGCGAAAGCAAAAAATGCAGCCGCGAAAGCGTTGCGAAGGGATTGGCAAAAGGTTTTTATAATCGTTAATAAAAGTTCTGGTTGGTTTTTGACACCGCTCATGTAGAGTCTGTTTGTTGGGAAGATTTCTTGGAGACGCCGTCAGATCAAAGGATGCAGATTCACCCTTGCAGCCTAGCATAGAGCCTGACAACACTGGTGTTGAATTCGGAACAGTTTCTTCCCACTGCCAATCTTCAATTATACTTTAATATTATATTCTATGTCAGCTTGCGAGGGTGTATGGTGCACCTTAGCTCTCCACGTCCTCCAGCTTTGGCGTTGCCAGGCCTGGACGTCTGGACCGCCAGCCCAGCTCGCAGCGGTGGACCGACGGAAACGGGGAGATCAGAGGAAACGGGGTGCCTGATAGTGCCTGCAATTCAACGGGCAGTTTGGATGGCACTTTCAAGAGGAAAGGAAGGCACCGTGCGGACATACTGCTTGAAGCTTGGATGGCTATCAGTCCATGGCGATCAAACCACACTCCAGTGGACATCATTGGCTAATGGCAACGCACGTATAGGACGATTAGGGTATATTAATGACAATGGTATCACCTCTATACAAATCGAGAACCTGAGTGACCTGGTTCTTGTACCCGCTTGTGCCACCCACCACCCCAGCAAAACCGCCTTTTGACCTTTGAAAACAGCAGGTTCCAATCCAGCCGGGTGCCACTCCCTTCGGAGCAGCGCTTCCGCGCGCACCGGGTGCTGTGACGCCCGCACTCGGAGCCTCTGCACACTTCGAGCACGGGCCCTTGCCGCTCGGCATGGTGAACGTGGGACAACTTGTAGTGCCAAGACTTGCTGTAAGGATCTGTAAGGTGTGAAACTATGTGAATACTCAATCAAATCATCAAATCCTTAACCCAATGGCCCTAATACTATTGTTGAAGAGGTTGAGTGTTGGGCTTGCAGGTGAGCATTGGGGATGTCAGTCAACTTAGCAGTTCAGCTGAGTTTGGCCCCAATCTGGCCCAAATCCTGATTTGCCAACTCCTATTAAGAAGTCCCGTGCTATCCAAGGCCATTGCGATTGGAGGCTGAGCCCATCGTGCGAGATAGTTTAGGTCCTGCCAGTGTGGGATCTTAGTTTTGTCAAAGTCGCACTGAAAGGACGATCTTTTGGACGATATGTTTGATATTTTTTGTGAGCGACAACCCCACCCCTTTGGAACTGCTGGTCGCAGCTTTTCGTTTCGTTTCATCTCTCACTTTTCGGGTCCGGTCGCAGCCTCATGGTCTCCATTTGTGAACTGCAAGCATAGACAGCATAGATCATCAAACTATATCAAATTGACGGCACGGTGCTTGGACACCCCTGTTGTGTTGTTCATGTTCTCTTCAGTGGAGCATTTTGACAAACAAAACAACCATAAACAACTGCTTGAGCCACTCTTGACTTTAGCCGGGACAAATGGACATCAACGGGTTCTTTTTGATGTTGTCGTTGAAGAACGGTCAGATTGAGTCCATTCCATGGTTTGCATGCTTGGCAGCCCGGCTCCTTCATTTAAGATACTTGACCGCCCGGCCGGAGTGAGATCAAGTTCTGGGGTTGGAAGAAGCCAGCAATTGTTGTGATAGCATGTTTATTTTACAGTTTGATCCCCAACCGATGCATGTTTGTATATGTTCCTTCTTCTTACACAACCATATACCACCTATATACTTCCAAGGGGTCTCCAGTATACTACTCTGCAGTGCTTGTGGGCTTCCAGTGGACAATCATTGGGATGGTGATGGTGCTGGTTGTTTTTCCCGTTTGTGTTGCTTTGAAGGTTGCTCCTTGGTGATGAACTAGTTGACGTTCACTGTCGCACCTTTGCAGAAAGAGTCCCACTGAGAATGGGAGCGAGGCCGTTGCCCAAAGTGATTAAGTGACCAAAGCATCGGCAACGGAGCGTGGCGCCATGGGCACTTTGCATGCAGCTCAAGAGGAGCAGACAAATGGGACGGGGTTGCGGGTTTCATGTTTTCCGGGGCTTCGTACTTCCAGGGTTGGACGTTTTGACCAGGCTTGAATAATTATGCTAACCGCCAGCCCAGTAAGTAGAGGGATGTAGAGGGTTCAAATCTACACTCGGTGGTCCTGCTGCTCCACTTGGTCTATCAACAGCAGGAGTCAATTTTTTTATGCTGAGCTTTTAAAGCGGGACACACTTGCCACAATATGTTGGTAGGACATTTTCGGCTGGCCGTCGGCTTGTTCCTGGATTAAGGATGAACACCATGCATCTCCATGAGTGATGTGCACCAGTTTTGCAAGCTGCATGAGCTTTCAGTTTTTGCAAGAACCATATTGCAATAATAGTATATATATATATATTCCACCCTAGAGCTAAATTTGACCTAATTGTTTTCAATGGCGCCATGGGATGAGTTTCAAAAGTGCGGCTTTCGCCCTGCCGTGGAGAAGGCCTTACTAGCACTTGGCTTTGAGAGGCCGACACCGATTCAGGCGTATTCGGGCTGCCATCAGCGTTTGTTGAGCTTTAAGTGTTTGCAGGATTAACCAGGCCTCTTGAAAGCTCAACACACTTGAAGTGTTTGGAGGACACAAGTTTAGTTTGGAGCGGCGTAGCAACTTCAGGTATGCTTGGCCGGCGATCATTACAGGCCAGGATGTCATTGGAGTGTCCGCCACGGGAAGTGGAAAGACACTGGCCTTCTTGGTGCCAGTTGCTTAGGTGACGAAAGCATCCTTTGCTTTTAAAGTCCATCGTTTAGGACAGCCTCAAGATATTCAAGCCAAGCTACTAACCGTCCAAGCCGTGCAGCTTAGACAACCACTTTGATTAAGGTATGGGGATGACATTTCAGATCATCTATGTATTTGTGTACACTCCATCATGCATGGTCCATTCTGGGCAGATGAGGCAGTGATTCTGCTGATGCAGCTCCCGTTTGGTCGGAAGTTGGGGAGTTCCTTGGCGTATCCGGGCACGTCTGCGTCTCGCAGAGCTGCTTCACGACAAATGCCTCCTGCAAATTCTCCACCTCGTTGCAGTTCCACCCGGCACAGATCACCACGGCCTGTTGATTCTTGCACCTACCCGAGAACTGGCAGACCAAATCCATGAAGAGGGCAAGCGATTGACGTCCCACATCAGAACCATGCTCCGCTCAGTCACAATCTATGGCGGTGTGGACGTGCAAGTTCAGAAGAAGGCTTTATCTCAGGGAGTTCATTGGTGCGTGGCGACGCCTGGCCGCTTGCTGGACTTCTTGGAACGCAAGTGGATGCTCAGACTATATCACGAAAGGTAGCGGTTACCCTACCTGAGTTTTCCTTTTGCTTTAGCAAAAATGAATTATAGTGGACACCCATCTCACTGAGAATCGCCCTCCGACATTTCATTTTAGAGGCCGGGCCCCCCCCCGCTTTCAACTCCACCCTGGCGTGGCTCTTTGTCAACGCCTACAAAACACACTAAGTGTTTTCAGCTCCTCCAGTCTGCAAGAGTTGCCTCAAACCACGCAATTTGCAGGGTTTTCTGTGGCTGTCCGGCCAAAAACCTTGTAAAAACCGATGGTTTTTGAAGTGTCTACGACGGTACTACGCCTCGTCCAGGGTTACGCCTGATTCCCTGCTACCTTTCGTTCACCCCCTCCTCTCTCAAGTTGTTATTGATCCATGTTATATACCTTTGGCACGTTTAGGGTTCCATTGTCAATTGTTCATGATTGTGGTGGATGTAATTTGGTGAAACTTGAGATGTTCAGTCCCGCAGTGGTCACACGAGGTTGTCTTTAGAGAAGCTCGCCGTGCTAGTCCTAGACGAAGCCGACCGGATGCTGAATCAAGGCTTTGAACTGGATTTGCGGAAGATCATGTCCTATAGACCAGTGAAGCTTCAGACGCTTCTGTTCACCGCAACTTGGGAACCTTCCACAAAGGTGCAGCTCCTGGCAAGTGACTTTTTGGTGGATCCGGAGATCATCGAAATCAGCAATGCAAGCAGGGCTGCCAACCCAAACATCACTCATCAATTTCATGTGTGTCGCAGCGAGCGTGAGAAGCTCACACGACTGATCGAGCAGATCGGCCAGCTAACCGATCAGCAGAAACTGATCGTTTTCGTCAATACCAAGGCCGGACGTTGTTGACCTGAAAATGGATCCCATGCATGATTGAATTTCAACTGGCATTTGGAAGGGGATAGCGATTGGGACCGGTACACGCGGTGTATTGTTTGACGGTTAAGAGTGTTGCTTCCCCTAAAGGCAGGCTGCCTTGAAGTCCAGTCCACCTTAGCCCGCTTCCGGATACCATCATTTATTTTACAAGGAGATATGGACCAGGCCAGCAGAGAGGCCTCCTTGACTGAATTCAGGAACAAGCCAGGAGTGTTGGTGGCTACAGATGTAGCCGCACGGGGCTTGGACGTTGACAATGTGAAGGTGGTCTTCAATTTTGATTTGCCAACGACCAGTGATACCTTTGTCCATCGTGTGGGGCGGACGGGTCGCGCTGAGCAGCATGGGATGGCAGTGACTCTGCTGAACCCTTTCGACAGACGGGAGCAACAAGTTGCCCAAGAAGTGGCCAATTACTTAGTTGCCGCTGGCGTCTACAACATGGAGCTGCATGTTTTTTTGCAAGAAGGCCTGGAGACTGGAAGCACTTTCAGTGGCTCAGCTGCGTGAAGCAGTGAGTACGAGTTGAATAATTCCTTCCACCTATTATTAAACACGGCTCCCCTATTGACAAAACTCGGGTGCATTTTTTTTAAATAGGGGGTCCCTGAAATAGGGGTTGTCCAAAATAGGGTCAGTGAGAGGAGAATGGAATCATTGATTAATTCCATATGAAATGCAAGTTTCCTGGCAGGCGCAGCGCTTTGTGAAGCTTGAAGTGCAGATTTCGTCCAGAAACCTGGGAAGAGCTTCAAAACCTGGGAAGGGCTCGCCCAGGACAATTTTACAATATTTTACATAACATCCTTTAAACAAAACTCGTACTTGCATCAAAAAGAGAAAGACTCCAGATCGAAGGGTCTTCCTTTTTCCCTTACAAACACCTTTATTAACATAGTGATTCTTCATTAGACTAACAACTAACAGAGGGTGGACATAGGGGACATAGGTGGGCAGTTAGGGTTGTTTTTGGAACCTAATACTGTAGATCAAAAAGAAAAAACTTAAGACAATGGCAATGTTAGTAGTTTAGTAGCAGCTTTAAAGGGCGCCAATTTAAAAACATATCTCAACCATTCTAAACCGTTTTTAGGGGTTTCCGACGGGCGTTCTTTTTTATAGGCGAGTGTTTATTTATCGGGAATATTCTGTCTCGGATTATGGTGCTTGGTGACAGGGTTTTGTGCGCTCACCCAGGCTCCAAGTTCCAAACAGCAGAATGTTTTTATTGTACTCCAACTGCAATTTGCCGGGTGACCAGGGCTGGGAAGAAGTGACATGTGCGTGAGGTGTAAGAGTGGTGGTGTTCTTGTAATTTAGTGCTGATGGTGCGGCATGGTGGCCTATTAATGCTTTTGCACCTTTTGCTTGTCCATAAACTTTAAGTTCAAATTTTTCCGCTACTATTTCTCGACGTAGCGAAAACACCTTCTCATTGAAGTCTCAAAACTTTGCCCTCGGTTTGGAGAAGGGCCTTCCATGAGGTGGTGTCACTGTTCCGTGAGGTGGTGTCACTGGCGGCTACACCCACAACACAGGTCTCACACAGCCGGATATTGAATTGGAAGGACACCAGCTGGCGCGTGTCTTGGCCAGTGACGAGGACATCGTGAAGGAAACCCTTCGGCGAGGCGCGCACACCTGAGGACAGTCATTTAAGGTCCTCACGTATAGCTGATGCTTGGGAGGGATCTAAAGAGCCGGGACTATCCATATTTCCCCTTTAAACATCTTTAAACAGGGAGCTACCCCCAACCACTTGCCAGTCATTTAGTATGTGATGTTAAAAAGCAACCAAGGAAAAATGTAATGAGTGGTCCCGTTTTTGCAAACCATGGCTGATTCATTGCAAAACGATAAATAGGTTTTAAAGACAATACACATATAAAAAAGCAATGACATGACATCAGAGAATGTGATCAAACCAGGGGAATGTTGACGGTCTCGTTTCTCTACAGTCACTTCTGTGGGCCGTACTAGTTTGACATCAACTTTTGTAGTCATGTTAAAAGAGCAGTACCAGCGAGTGCCAGGGTACTTTGTTGACACCTGTTTTGCTTGCGAACATGGAAATTGTTTGCCTCGAGGCTTGCGCTTCTTGAACATTGAGCGAAGCAAAGCTTTGGATGATCGTTTTCGTCGCCCAAAATGGCGCTTCCGCCGCTTGGTATCTTTCAAAGAGCTCAGGGAGGCAGCAAAGCGACATGAGAAAGGTGAAGAAGCCTTGGGTTCGCTAGCTCGTGAATCCAACGAAGCTGGCGAAAGCATGTTGGGAATCGTGCACGTGATGATCACTGATTTGTATGATCCCACAACATATGTGGCAACTGAGATGTTTGAAGTCCCTCATGAGCGTGACCACAAGTGGCAAGTTTTCTGCCAGGTGACCGAGATGCTTATGGAGTCCGATGATGTTGAATTTGCAGAGCAAGTCACTGGGAATGCAGCATTTCAGGAAGCACTACATGCAACATGGCTGGAGGGTGATACTGAGGATGAGTTCTACTTCCAGACATTCAGCAAGCAACCCTTTCCACAGTTCAAGTATAAGCCGCTACTTCACCATCTTTGTGAGGAAGGCACCTTTGTCGAAACTTTGCGTTTCCTCCTGAGCCGCTTTTCGCACCAGACGGCGGAAAAGCCATGGCTGAGGTTAGTGGATGTGGAACAACGGGAGAAGCAGTATGGCAACACTGCCTTTCACATTTGTGCCTATGCTGGGCATGTTGAACTTCTCGATGAGCTTGTGAAACATGCTCAGAAACATGAAGTACCTGTGGAGCTGCTGAAAACAACCAAGGGGGAAACAGCTTTGGACGTGGCCTTGGCACGAAACAACTATGCTTGCTTCAATCTTCTAGTTCCTTTCTTTGCGGGTGCGCAGCCATATGACGAAAGCAACAACTCCTCCAAGTCGCAGAGTGTGCTGGTAGTGGATGGTCCTGAAGAGACGGGCCAGCCAGCTGAGCGTGTTTCTTGCGATTTACCGAGCTCCCTGTCTTTGAGAGATCTCACTACCCACTTGCAAGTGCTTTTGAAGCAGCTTCCAGGCAAACCTCACCTCATCCTTTTGAAGAAGGTTCACCTTCATTTGGGTGGTTCTTTGCGTTCTTGAGATTGACGATGCCAGCTGTGTTTTTGACCGCATATCGCTGCACTACAGAAAGTCTGGATGTTTGCACTCATTTTCTTCAGGCACTAGTGCAAATCTTCCAGCAAGAATGCCCATGTTGGGATCGGTTTTTCTTCATGCCGCTGGTTCGAGGAGACCCTACAGTGGATGAAAAGGAACGCTTCACCCAGACCACCTTAGATCTTGTAGCTTGGTGTAGCTTAATTAAGGTGATGTTTTATTATGTTTTATTTTCCCTATGGCATCCTATGATTAAATTCATTCTTGTGAATGTTATTACTTTTTCAGGTTCCTTAAGCAAATCCAAGGTGGATGTCTTGAATGCGCGATCCCAACAGGGCACGTTGTGGTTGCACAGCTTCGGGCGTGACGGGTCTGCAAAGTTTGCGTATCCAAGATCATATCTCACCAAGGCATTCTTGGCCGAGGTCGTGCAGGGTTTGTTCCATGTGAATAGCTTCGTTTGGATTCGAAGCAAGCTTGAGAAACAGTTCAACTCCCAAGATGTTGCCGTCAAGGTCTCCAAGAGATCACGGTCAGGTCGAGGTCAGCTCAGTGAAGAAGACGTACGAATGTTGCATTTCTTCTCAGCGAAGTTGAATTTCATCGAGCGCTACTGCTTTTCCGCTGAGTTGGTCAAGAAGGATTGGGCCGAGACCTCTCCGGTAGAGGGTCTTCGTTGTGGGGTTGATGTGGAGAGAGTGGAAATGGTGGCAAGTGAATGGATCCTCAACCATTGCTTTGAAAAAGGATTTGGCAACCTTTTGGTTGCAACCTTTTGGTTGCCGTTGACTCGTTGGACTCGTTAGTTTGGACAACACGCCTCTAAGAGACTTTCCTTGTGATTTTTCTGCAAGCAAGGTTGAACTATTGGGCATTTCCTCTAGCTGGTGCAAAGCCCCAAGGTTTGGAGAGGATGTTTATGGACTACTTGGCGGCATTGGATGAGGGTTTGTGGTGCCTTCTTCAGCATCATCGCTTGCTGCCCAGTCTGCCACAGCTTGTTCAACGGATGGTGGACACATTGCCGGTAGAAGAGGCCCAGAGACTACCAATGGCATTGGCTTGGCTGCAGAATCATGACAAAACCAAGATAGTCTCGTCATAGTCATTCCTTGGCGCGTTGAAAGACCGTCATGACCGTATATGTGTTTTTCAGCGAGGCGGCTTCGTCGCCTATCCCTCAGGCTCATCTTCTCAAAGCAGATTGGACATTTCAACCAATTGTACAGTGTACAGTATGCTGTCCTGCTCAGTGAAGACGAGTGAAACGTGTTTCACCTCGCAAGAGACCAAATACTGCAAAAGCTGAAGATAATTATACTTTTCTCTGTTTTCCTCAAGACTCACCCAATCGCAAGATGGCCCCCCTTTTCATGCTTTTCTTCCTGTCAGCCTCTCCCGAAGGATCCTTACCATCAAAAAAAATGACACCTGAAGAGGTGTCCTCTCCTGGTGCGGCTGTGAAAGTTTGTGAAACGGATGTTCCAACGGTGAACTCCTGGGTTCCTCTCCTGCATCACCCATCTATGTGTCCTTCCAATGCTGCAGGAGCGGTCCGACCTCCAGCTTTTGCCATCCAATGTTGGGGGCCCAGGAAGTCACTCAGTCACAGCCACCAAATTGTGTGCTTGACAGTCACAGGTCCCTTTTCAAGCAAGAATAAGATGAATATCTAAGAATTGTTAACTATGTTTAAATATATAAATTCATCAGATGAATAAACGGTATTAATTAAAATATCAATCCAAAAACATGCAAGAAAACACAGCTTTGATGCCAACAAGCTTTTCGCGGTAGTGCCAAAGTTTTCCATGGTTGTATGGTTGCTTGCGTGTCTAGCATATATTGTTTGGATCTGGCAGCCGCGCACAAGCCATTTCAAGCAAGTTTTTTGCACGATCTTTACTGATGGTCACTTGACCATCCGCTTTATCTAGAAGAGCAGCCAGGGAGGTTTTGAGGATGCTTGATGCTGATACAGTAAGTTTGTTTGCTGGTAAGTTTGTTCGCCGTGGGGAACGCACATAAAGTACTATACCCTCCCCCATAACCCAGCGCATCCTCCTTCAGGGGAGAATTAATTACTGTACTAATCTGTTCTGTATTTGATCTTCCACGTCGACTTGTGGGTTTGGTGTGTTGGTTTGGTGATTGCACTTTTGTTTCTGGGCTCAAAACAACCAGACCGCGACTGAGGTGATGCGCAGCATGCCCTACACCGCGTAGCTGGGATTGCAGAGGGAAGCAATGGAAAATGAGCACAGCATACAGCGGAATACATGCTTGAAACATGTTGAAACTCTTTTTGCTTTTGAAACTCTTTTTGCTTTCCCAAACATCAAGTTGGAGTTGGGATTTAAACCACTGTTTCTTGATCCATCCTTTTTGGAGAGTCCAAACACCAACCAACACAAGTCACAACAATTTGGCAGATACTAAAGCAGAAACTGGCTTTTTGACTCTGCTGTGAGACATCAATTGCCATAATCTATCTTGCGCCACGGCATGGTTTTGAAGCGATTCATTTTGATCCAAGTCTTAATGTAGACCGTTCAATTACCCCTCCCGAAAAAGATGTTGTTCACCCTGTTGGCTAGGCCAAAAAGGGTGTCAAATCCACCGTTGATCGAGCCCGCGGCGTCACCCCTCGAGGTATATCGCGGTGGGGTCCTATGCCTTGATCTTTTGGTCTCAAGAAGCAGCCTTGCTCGAGGCAACTGAAAGCACACGACGGGGACGGTTTCTTCGGGGCGAAGATCGACACGTGGCAGGTCACCGTGGAAATACGTCCAAATAGGATCGAATTGCAATGATATGTGTATGTGTGAGCTGTTTAACTATTGAATACTATTGAGTGCTGGAGCCTACAAGTGTCTCCCATGTCTCGGCCAAGCCATATCCGCCGTTTCCTAGGTTGTTGGTTGGTTGATGCCATTGTTTTCTTGCCGCGGAGAGGGAAATCGCAGAGAGGCAACCACCGGATCACAAACTTATCACTATCGATGCAAACTTAATGGGCCCTCCCTTAAATATTTATTCCAGGGGGGCATGTCACATAGTGGAATATTTTTTGTGGAATAATTAGACGGTAGAATATTTATTTAAATAATCCTAAAGGGGGTCTCTTGATGCTGAGACTCAGGAGGAATAATTTCATGCCAACTATCCCTGGAATAATTTACATAATCGAAGCTACTATCGAAGCTTTTCGAGCCTGTGTTGATCTGTCTTGGATCTGTTCCACGAGTTGATATTTCTAATGACAGAAAATATTCCTGCATCAGGTGCACATCTGGAATAATTATCCTGAAACTATGTTCAAGGCCCCAGGAATAATTGCTAATTATTCCTAGGTATGTGGAGATAGGGGGGGGTCTAAGGTAGGGGCCATCAAACTTATATATCGGGGGGATGGTTTTGTGATTGCTCGCGAAGCTGATCAAAGGTGATTCGGACAACTGGTTTTGACGATCAGATGCATATGGAATGCCTGTGGAAGACTCAATAAGTCTCAACTATTTGGTTCGCCCATGGGCACTCTTGGTTTCTTGTGTTCGGTTCTGAGACGTTTGGTTCGCCCGATGGACCAATTGGCTCCTGCACAAGCAGGATCCACGTGGGCTGCATGTCGAGTTGAAACATTCCGATGTCCAGAGTCATATTGGCTGTGTGGAGCGGGGCCAAGACTCGACTGACAGAATCAACTACCATAAAGCCACCAGGTATAGTTCAGGAAACCATCCTGATTCACAACCCCTTCTCCAGGTATTGGTTTCTGGAGCCCTGCTGCGTTCAAGTAGGCCTTACTTTTATCCAACGAGCTGCTGAACGCCTTCTTCAAGAAGCTGGCGAGCAAGTTGGTGGGGAAGGAGGCACGGTGTCACAGTCACAACCGCCACCTTGCATGGCCAGCAAAGTCTTAGGTTGTTTCAGAACAGTCTGAGGGTAGATCAGCTTTACGGACCTCGACAATCCTCGACACGTTTTTGGAAGGCCAGATGGATCAAAAGACCACGTGGTGCTGCCGACAGCGCATGACTCAGACTCGGCTGCAAATGACCAGGAAGCACCAGACATCACCAGACAATGAAAACGTGTCAAGCACTATTTTGGCCGGGCGAATGTCCCCTTAGCAGGGCTCCTTTGGGGTCTCCAGCGGTAATGCACCTAACTACTTGGACGCTGCCACACGCTCCGCTCCAAGGTGGGATCTACCCGCAGCACTTCCCCAAGATGAGCACATCGCAGCTCGCTTTGTTCACCGGAAGTGCCCGGCTCGTGAGGTTTCCTCTACTACCAGTCGCTTGCGTAGCTTGCAATTATGCTGGGTAGGAGCACCTCAAAAACAACTAGGGCAACTTGTCATTTGGTGCCCCATTCACATGGTTCATCCAGATTCCAGTCTTTGACTTTGAGCTTTGAGCCACGCACAAAACCAAACAACAACGCTCAGGAGTGGCATGCCCAGCGGTCACGCGCAAACGAGCGCTCTTCTGGCGACGGTGTTCACTTGCTTCTTGGAATTGACGCCAGGTGGATGGTTTTTTTCGTTTCGCTTCCAACCATCGACAGGAGCACGATCTTGTTTGCCTCCTCACAGGAGCACTCCAAAGTAGATTCTTGGTGCCGCAAGCTGTACGCAGGTTCTTCATGGCTCTTCGTAAGACACCGGGATTGAAAAGGGTTATCAGGATAAGTTATCAGGAGGTTGAAAAGCATCGCCAGGGAGTGGAAGATCCAGTCGTTTCGGTGCCTCTCTTCAAAGAACTTGGAGCTTTGGGAGACCAGTTTGGGCCCTGGTTTGAGGTTTGACAGGAGTGTGGCTAGTTGGAAAAGGAGGCTGGCCCAAAGCGTGCGCCTGCTCAATAATGTAATTAGATCTCTATAATAGATGAGCAAACGAGCCTGACCTGATAAGCTTCCTTCAGTGTCAGCCCTCGGACATCCATTCTTCTCATCCTCGTGGAAAGGTCACCAAAATGTTTGCAGCAAATGTTCATCGGACGAAGGGGGTTATTGTGCATCGGCATGTTGTCCAGTTCTTCCGCCATTTGGATTCACACAACTCCAGCGCATTGATTGAGGTTTCAGCTGCCCCTCTCCAAGTAAACCCTTCTTGACTCTTCATTCCAAACTAGATATACTCTAAGATCGTGCTTTTGGAGGATGCACATTGATTATCTACCCCAGGATTGGGAGAAACGTGTTTTGAATGGCCAGAGACTGGAGGCCAAAATGGCCTCTTTTTGAGTTACCAAGGTCACCTCCTTGATCTTCAACCACACATGGACCCGGAACCTTTGGCTGAAAGTGAATCGCTGGAGTCAACCACGGTGGGAAACCGGTTCCGCGGGGGCGACCGGGCGTCCTACCATGCGTCCGCATGCTTCGAAGGCACCGGGTTTTTGAGGCAATGTGGGTTGGTCTTGAAGGTGCCATTTGTATCCATTCACCGCCATTTCCAAGGTGCCAGACTTACCAACCAGGGTGGGCACATCTTTGAGGGTGTTTCTTTCTGAGAGCAGAATTGCAGAATGGAACAAGTTCCGAGCTCAGGACTTGCCAGGGATATCGACTTCACCCTTAGAAGCCAAGAACGTGGTGCCTCTGGTCTACGTGTGGCCACTTGGCGTGGTTTGCTAGAGCAGGGGTGTTTCATCGTAGAGCGGCACCTCCAAACTGACAAAGGGCCCACCATAGAAACGACCAACACTTGGCAGAGACGAGCAGATAGCCCACTGTGTGATCAATTTGTGCACCCCACGGCCTCACGGACCGCCGCAGAGCCTTCATCGGTGCTTAGGCTGGTTGCCTTGTGCGTGCCTCCGGCGAGATTGGCGCTGCCCCTGTTTCACTAAAAATTTCTGAACATCGCAGTGTTTGTTTGAACACCCCCAGCGTTGCCTATGTATGCTGTTGTGACGGAGCCCAACGGGCACACGTCTTCTAATTTTTTTTGGGGGGGATCATGCGGATATCATATGTGTTCCTTAAAGAAGATACCCCCTCAGGGTGCAGGTTCGCCTGTCAGTGGCGGGTCAGCCAGCTGCGCATCGCATGTGTCTTGTCACTGCCAGGTGATGTTCTCCCGGACGCGCTTTGGTG